TACAGATTCAAATTTCAATGTTCTTTTATATTTTCAAATTTAAGCTTTCAAGTTTTGCTTTTTACACTTAAGTCCTTGTTCTGTCAGTAATTAAGGTTTGTTCATGATGTGAGGTAGAAATCCATTTTTATTTTTGTTTTCTAATATGGAAGTGAGTTCATCTCTTTCAACTGGTCTGCACTGTCAGCTTTATCATAAATGATATTCTATTCTTATTTGTGTATGCATGACTGTCTCTTCTGCTCCTCTTGTCAGTCCCACAGTGTCTTAATTGCTATAGCTTTATGATAAGTCTTGATAGCTGCTAGGGTAAGTCCCACTGCTTGGGGGTGGTTTTTAAGGAGTAAGTAGTTGGCTATTCTTGGACCTTTGCTCTTGAAGCTTATCCATTCCTAGAAAAGCCCTAACAGATATTCCATTGAATCTACATTGTAGAAGAGAAGTGGAGATCTACATAATAGGGAGAAAAGCAGCCTTTGTGTAATTTATTTGTAGATACGTTTGCATTTCCTATGAAGAGATTTATGTCATCTGAAAATAATAGTTTTATTTCTTTTCAGTTCTTACATACCTTTTATTTCTTCCCTTACTAAACTGGTTAGATTCACCTCTATAATGTTGAAGAGAAGTTATGATAACAAATATTTTTACCTTATTCCTAATTTTAGAATGGTTTTAATGTTTCAGTATCAACCAAAATATAATCAAAGGTTTTCAACTCGCTTACATGACTGGTCGTTGATACGCTAGCTGCCAACTGGCATTCCTCTCTAGCCTGGTGGCCCGTGAGTAATCTGGCTTCTTACCATGGGTTGGTTTTCTCCAGAGCATTTATTTCGAAAGCACTAAGTGGAAACTACCCAGCCTCTTCTGGCCTAGCCTTGGAAGTTATTCAACATCACTTCTGTTGCATTCTGTGGGTTTTAAGTGAGTTACTGAAGTTGGTCCAGAATCAAGGGAGGGGATATAGATCCCACTTCTCAGTGGCTGGAATGTTGAGGATTTTGATGACATGTTTTGAAACATCCAAGCCTAGAATACAGAATTTTCATAAATGTTTTTCCATGTGTGTTTGAGAAGAAAATAATACTCATTTAGTTATAGGATTCTGTCTATTAATTGTAGCTTGTCAGTTCTATGCTTGAAATCTATGTTCTCTTACTGCTTGCCTTGCTAGTGTAGTTTTTGTTATCTGCTTATCTGATCAATTGAGAAGTGACACTCTGTATTTCAAAGCTATTGTTATTAGGTGCATAGAGTAGAGGTCTGGAATTGTTTTATTCTGCTGCTGAATTGAACCCTTTATCAATATGTGTCTCTAGAAGAATGCACTTCAGGGGCACCTGGGTGACTCAGTCGTTAAGTGTCTGCCTTCGGCTCAGGTCATGATTCCGGGGTTCTGTGATCGAGCCTTGCATCAGGCTCCCTGCTCCGAGGGAAGCCTGTTTCTCCCTCTCCCACTCCCCCTGCTTGTGTTCCCTCTCTCGCTGTCTCTCTCCCTCTCTCTGTCAAATAAATAATAAAACCTTAAAAAAAAAAATGCACTTCAAACCCAGGTCTCAAAAATTTTTACATATTTTCTATGTCTTCTGCTTTAAAAATTATTTTGTCTGATATAACTCTGCCATCTTTTATTAAGTATTTGCCTGGTATATCTTTATTAGTTTTTTTCAACATTTCTATGTCATCCCAATTTAAGTGTGTGTCTTATGAGGAGCATATTGGTAGGATTTTATAATTTATCTGGAGAGTTTAGTCCCTTTATATCTGTCATGATCACTGATCTCTGTATATTTTTGTTCTTTCTTATTTTTTACCTTTTATTTGACTTGCTTTTTCCAGTTTTCTCCTCCTTCATGGCTTGCTTTTTTCTTTCCTTCTTTCTTTTTTTTTTTCCATTAAGACTCCATCATCTCCAGTTCCACTTTTTTATTCTCTGCCAATTTGGGATGTTTCTATACTTCTATTCTTATTGTGTAGCCTGGAAGTTTTTCCTACGTATTTAACTTAAAGTCTAATAATTGGGTTTTTTAAAAATAACTTTCTGACTAATATTGGCCCTTAGACTGTTTTGACTTCCGTCACTACCCTCCTGATTTATATGCTGTTTTTATTCAATTTTAGTTACATCTTGTTTTTTTAAATCTCTCAAACATATAGTCATTGTTTATTTGTATCTACATACATGTTTAAAATTTACTCATCATTCTTTCTTGAATCTTAGATCTTTCTTCAAAAATCGATTCCCCTTTTCCTGAAATATATCTTGTACAAGTTAATTTAGTGAGTCTGTTACTTATAAATAGTCAGTTTTGGTGTGTCCAAAATGTCTATTTCTCCCTTGTTCTTGAAACCCTGGTTTTGCTGGGTTTAGACTCCTAGGTTTACCATTACTATTTAAAGATAATATTCTACTGCTTCTGATTTCTGTCATTCCTGCAGAAAAGTCTGCTGCTAATTATCGTTCCTTTGGAGGTAATTTGTCTTTTTCTCTGCTTTTATGGTCTCTTCTTTGTCTTTAGTGGTGTTTCACTTTAATGTATCTGACTGGATTTTTTTTTTTTAATTTGTTTTGGATTCATCGTACTTCTTGAATCCTATTTCTTAAGTTCTGTGAAATTCTCATTTGTTGCCTCTTTGAATATTGTCTTCCTCATTCTCTCTATTCTTTCTTTTGGGAATCCTTTTAGAAATCTAATGGAGTTTCACATGTCTCTTAACCACTCATTTTCCATCTTTTTGTCTTTCCATATTTCTGTACTGCATTGTGGTAATTTTTATCATATGTACATTCTAAGTCACTCCTGTTCTTTTGAGCTCTGTCTAATCTGCTAAGGAACCCATCCACTGAGTTTCTAATCTTATTTATACTATTTTTTAATTTCTAGATGTTCTGTTTGGTTCTTTTGCATATCTGCTTAGTCAGTTTTGATAGACTCCTAAAAGAATATTCCATATTTTCAATTCTGTCATTTATCTCTTTAAGTACATGTAACACATTTGTTGTATTCTCTTTATCCAGTAATTCTTTTTTATTTTTAAGACTTTATTTATTTATTAGAGAGAGAGACAGCAAGAGAGGGAACACAAGCAGGGGGAGTGGGAGAGGGAGAAGCAGCCTTCCCTCAGAGCAGGGAGACTGATGGAAAGGCTTGATCACAGAACCCCGGGATCATGACCTGAGCTGAAGGCAGATGCTTAACGACTGAGCCACCCAGGCGCCCCTATCCAGTAATTCTAATATCTGCAGTCTTTGCAGATCTAATTCTATTGTTTGCTTCTGCTGTCTCTCACTCATGGGGCTTGTTTAGCAGTTTGTGGTTGGGACCTCATTTTCCTTGGAACATACTTGTGGAAAATTTTTGAGACCTGGGTTTAAAATGCATTTTTCTAGAGACACTTTGCATTTGTTTTTGCTAAGTGTCTGAAGGCCCTACCAACCTGAGACACTTTAAATTTCCGATTTGGGATTTTTCAGGTCAGACAGTTCATATAAATTTAGTCCCCAAATCAGCTTTTTTTTTTTTTAAAGATTTATTTATTTTGAGAGAGTGAGAATGAGAGAGAGAGAGCACATGAGAGGGGGGAAGGTCAGAGGGAGAAGCAGGCTCCTCACTGAGCAGGAAGCCCGATGCGGGACTGGATCCCGGGACTCCAGGATCATGACCTGAGCCGAAGGCAGTCGCTTAACCGACTGAGCCACCCAGGCGCCCCCCAGATCAGCTTTAATGTAGGCCTGTGATTGGGGATTCTCAGGGAAGACTTTCTGACTATCTTCCCTTTTCATTCAGCCGAGGGTGAGATAGGCACGTCTCTCTTTCATTACCCTCTTCCTCCACAAGACAGGAGCATTTTTTTCTGCTTCGCACAATAATGTGTCCCCTCCCAGGGGTCTGGCGATGTCTGCTGTGACCTACAACTATTGCCCGCTGAGCCTGGACCTTAGGCGTATGCCAGCCCCAGCAGACTCACTTAGACCCTTAGGTTTCTGCTTTCTCATTATTTCTGGACTCTGAGGAATTTTCTCACTTCCCTGCCACCTCAGAGTTAAATTTTTAAAGATGTTTTAAAAAAATACTTTGTCCAGCAATTTTAGGAGCACTACACTGGGAGGGATTTCCTTGACCATCAAATTTGCCATGGGTTGCTTTGCGTTAGGTGTTAAGCAGTGAAGTGGATTATGCTTCGTTATTATGATTGTTTTTTGACTTTTACTCAGAGTTCCTTTTCTAAAGAATTGGAGCATTAAATCTAATCAGTTGAAATTAGGTTGCCCTTCAACCTAGTGGGCACCGTTTCAAATGAATTCCTGTCTCAGAAGCACAGAATAACACTGTATTTTTATATCACACTTTAAGAATATTGCAAGTAATAATGAAATCTTACTTAGGAGTTCATGGTCCTTATTATTTGAACTATCCTAACCTCTTTCAAAATACAAATTCACATTTTATTTTATTCACAGATAAATAGATTTAGAGTTTAGAAATGTTAAGATTAAGATAATTCTGTGTCCTTTTTAATCTTTAGAGGCATAGTTCTCTTTCAACAACTCTGAAGTGAGAATGAAGTATTATCTGCCACTTGTCGTAATTCCTCATTTGCCCCTTTTTAATTTTCCTAAAAAACTTTGCACTTAATAAGTTACAGCTTTTTTTTTTCAGGCCCTGTATTGCTGAGGGAAAATATATTCCATTTTGAAGCAAACAAGAATAGTTTAGAATCCAACTTACTTTTTTATTTGTTCATAGTCATCTGGGCTAGACACCAGACATTTTATTGAGTGGATTAATCAGGGATACACTATGGTGTGTGCTTATTTTCCCCCAGTTGATGAGTGCTACATGTGTGTCTGTGTGTGTGTACTTGTACATAAGGTAATTGGTTAGAAGTATTTTTTAGGTGTACTTAATGTAGCAGATACTTCCATTAATAGACTTTCTTTGGTTTATACATGCATGAAAACCAAATGACTTACTATTCTATCTTTATTCTTCCAGGGTAATGCTGAACAACCTGTCCAAACTAGCAAGATTGGACTTGGAAGGAGAGAGTATCAGAGTTTACAACACCGCCATCATTCTCAGCGTTCTAAGTGCCGTCCACCTAAGGGCATGTATTTAACCCAGGAAGATGTGGTAGCTGTTTCCTGTAGTCCCAATGCAGCCAACACCATCCTGCGGCAGCTGGACATGGAGCTGATCTCTTTAAAGCGTCAGGTAGTAAAAATAAAAACCTTATTGTTAATGATTTTATCTATTCAGTTTATCCACTTTTAAAACCCCAGTAAACTTAAGTTTTTTACAGATTTTCTCAGCTACCCACTTATATAAGCTCTACTCTTTAAAATTCACCTTGTTTCCAAATTCAAAGATGCCTCAGTCTATTCTAAATTTGAATCCCAGCATTGTTACTGGTTAGCTCTGTGATAGTGGGAAATAATAGAATTTCTCTGAGCTTCAACTTTATATCTATGAAATTGAAGATAAAATAATCATACTTCTCTTGCAGGTTGTTAGGAGTTGGATGAGATGTTAACTGCAGATTGTTGAGCTGTGTCTGGCACTTTTTTTTCTTTTTTTTAAATTAACATATAATATGTTATTTGTTTCAGGGGTACAGGTCTGTGATTCATCAGTCTTACACAATTCACAGCACTCACCATAGCACATACCCTCCCCAATGCCCATCACCCAGCCACCCCATCCCTCCCACCCCCTTGTGTCTGGCACTTTTTGAGTGCTCAGTGAATAATGGCTGCTCTCTTCATCCTCATCCTTATTACCAGTAGTGGCTGCCATGGTATTATAAATATATCATCATCATAATCAGGTTAATCATGGTTAAGAGTCAGGATCTAGGGTCAGTGAATGTAAATTTTAACCTTAGCTACATCATCTAGTTCCTGTGTAACCTCGGGGTAGCTGGTTAACTCTTCTTAACTCAGCTTCCTCATCTTGAAATGTGGATAATAATACGATGCTTGGGAGGAATTAAACAGGATAATATCTGAGAAGTGCTTACAACAGTGCCTAGCACATAATAAGTACTCAGTTAAGGGTTGTTCTTGGGTCTCTGGCCTTTCTTGGTCATCTCTTCCCCTCTCTCTTGGTTTCTGTTGTTTTCCCTATGCCTTAGACCTAGTAATTCTTCTAAGTCTGTATCAAGCAATCTTACACTATATGCCAGTGACTTCTGAATCGACTTCTAAGGCTTTGACTTTTCCCCCAAGCCCTGTATTGCTCTATCTCTAGCTACATGCTAGGCATCTTCATCTAACCCCTGAAAGATGGTTTTTCTCTGTTCCCTGTCTGTTGAAACATGAGAATCCTCTTCGATGTATCCCTTGCCATTATCACATCCCCCAATACGTACGAATCCAAGTGCTAACCTAGTTGTGTAAGTTTATCTGAGAAATTTTCTTTAAATCAGTCCCCTCATTTTTAATCCCATCACTACTACCTTTGTTCAGGTCCTTACAAGCTCTGACCTGACAGGAACTGTCCTGTGATTCTCCTTGCTGTGCACTTTCGCTGCAGCTCATGCTACATATTGTTGTCCATGGCCATGTTATCTTCTTAAAATACTGGTATGATCAAAGTCATTCACTTTAAAGCTCTTCGTTAATTTCTACTTGCCCTTAGCACATTATAGCAGAGGTAGACAGGAATTGATCAGAAGGTCATGTTAAGAAATTTAAAATTCATCGTGAGTTAAGAAACCACTGAAGGGGATTTTAAAGAGAGGTGTAACATCGTCTTATTTACATTTTTCAACTATATCTCTTTGCATTTTTTATTTTACTAGTTGCTCTAGGGATTTATAGTATGCATCCTCAGCCTACCATCTCATCCTTGCTTAGGTATTACAATATTATCCTTAGAGTTAATATTGTACCACTTTATATAAAATGTAAGAATCTTGCAACGATATAATGTGGGATCAAGATAGTTTTTCTCTATCTGAAACATTCAGATTTCTCTATCACTTGACCCTGGTTATTCACCCAAACTGCTCTTATATTTCTCTTTTCTTCTCCAACAAACTTCTTGCATAAATATCTACCATATTAGCTTCCTCTGCTTTTAACATCACATATTCTCTGATGCTTCCCAATGTAATTTCTGCTCCATACACCATCCCAGTTCTACCAGTGGAAAAAGTTATCTTAAGTTTATTTATTAACCAATTGCCCAGTTTCATGGCCTCTTGAATCTATTACTGCTAGTAGTATCTGACACTGACAACCACTTCTTCCTTCTTGGAATTCCTTTCCTTTGGCTTTTATGACACCAGGCTCTCTAATGTATGTAGTATATTTTTGACTGGATGCTTGGCCTTTAGTTGAACAGTGAATGTGTGCACGACTTCCATCTTCCAAACCACAGCTCTCTTTCTTTTTAGAGAACTTGTGAAACACTTTGCCTGTGATGTCTTTAAAAGGTTTCAGGTGGTCTTGAAGCTGGGGTAGGGGTGGCTGCATCTTTCCAGAAGATGTGACGGCTCTTGCCTGGTCTGCTTCCCAGCTTCTTTTCTCCTGACTTTGCTTCCTGCCCTGGGTGCCCTGAGGTTCTGTCGCCACTGCCCTCACCACTGCAGCCATGATCTTCCTAATGGACACCCAGAAAACTGAAATGGATTAACAGGATATGGAGTGTTTTCCTTGTGCTTTGGAATGATTCTTTTATTTGACAAAGCACTATTGGCTGTTGGGTAATGTTTTCTTTGTAGCTGGCTTGGCTTTTGTAATTGGTTTACAAAGAACATTCAGATTCTTCTTCCAAAAACCTAAAATGAAAGCTATAGGGTTTTTCCTGGGTGTTGTGTTTGTAGTCCTTGTTAGTTGGCCTTTGATAGGCATGATCTTTGAAATTTATGGATTCTTTCTCATGTTCAAGGGCTTCTTTCTTATGGTCATTGGCTTTATAGGAAGATTGCCAGTCTTTGGGTTCCTCTTGAATCTACCTGGAATTTGGAAATAAAGTTGGAGAAAGCAACAATATGGTAGAAAGACAAGTGAATTGGAGATTTATTTAAAATATTATATTATTTATAAAGTCCTTTGAAGAATATTCAGCACAAAATTAAATTACATGAAATAAAGGTTCTTTACAGAAGTTTAAAATGTAGAGCCTACCAAGTACCAATAGCAGTTAACCAGCAGTGAGAACGGTCTTCTAACCAAGTGGTCTAAGAAGTCAGTGAGCAGACTGAAGGAGTGACATCTGTGTTACAATACATATTGAAACTCTTGAAGGCGATTTTTAATGGTTTTTCTGCCATGTGGGAAATACAGCCAGCCTTGGAGAACTGTGGTGTCTGTTTCTTTCCTTTTTCTTTTAAAGATGCAGTAACATCCATAGGCATTTGCTTTTTTAGAAATATTCACTGGAATGGCAAAAATATTTCCATTTGCATCGTCTCTGAAAGTAATACATGAGTTAGATTGGATGATGTCATTTTAATCTGTTAAAACCAAGGAGGGCACCTGGGTGGCTCAGTTGGTTAAGCGACTGCCTTCGGCTCAGGTCATGATCCTGGAGTCCCGCCGGGATCGAGTCCCGCATTGGGTTCCCTGCTTGGCGGGGAGTCTGCTTCTCCCTCTGACCCTGCCTCTCTCATGTGCTCTCTCTCTCTCTCATTCTCTCTCTCAAATAAATAAATAAAATCTTAAAAAAAAAACAAACAAGGAAAACCCAGTTTGATGTATGAATGACTTTTTTTTTTTTGGTAAACATAGGGTTAAAATTTTTTAAAAAATTGGTCAAAATTTTTTTGACTAATGGAATAAAATGTACTCAGTGGCCTGTATTCATACTCTATCCTTAACACTACTACTTACTTATAGCCTATTTTTATTATAAAGGATCTTTTTTAAAGCTTTAAACTCCTTTCTTGGTTTGTCGTTTGATGTGTGACATAGTAATGGTTTGCACTCTTCGGTTTACAAATTCTGCTATTTTTATATCACAGACATATCTCATATGAACACAGTCTCATATGAAGAAGTCCAAACTGCCTTCCCCCATACCCCACCCTAGTTAGCTGTTTCTCCTTTGCATTCCCTGTCATAGTGCTTAGCACCACATATACTCGGGTTACTTAAGCCAGTGACCAGAGTTATCCTTGATTCTTCCTTCTCCCTAATTCTCCCCATCAAGTGTTTACAAACACATCTTAATTTTTGTCTCCAGGTTGTTTCTTTTCTCTGTCTGTGTGCCACCACCATGATTACTTCATTCCTGCTGTTTTAATTGAAGTCCTCAGTGTTTCTCATCTGGATTGTTAAATTCATTTTCATCTTCTTTATTCCATTCCATTCTCCAGATGACTACTGGAATTATGTTTCTAAAAGGCAAATATGACTACGTTGCTCCCTTGCTTAAAAATTCTTTAGGTCGAGGTGCTTGGGTGGCTCAGTCGGTTAAGCGTCTGACTCTTGATTTCAGCTCAGATCATGATCTCAGGGTCATGAGATTGAGGCTCACGTCGGCTCCACACTCAGCACTGAATCTGCTTGTCCCCCTCCCTCTGCTCCTCCCTGCATGCATGCACTCACGCACACTCTCTCTCAAATAAACAAATAAAATCTTTTTCTCAATCTTTAGGCAGAATTCAAATTCTCTGTTCAGTCCCAGCCTAACTGCTTTCCTGTCTTCCTACATGCTATTCTGCCTGGAAGGCATTTCCTGCCCAACCTTGCCTACCTGCTTAATTCTCGTTAATCCTTTGAAACTAAATTTAGGTATCATCTTCTTTGGAAAACTTACCCTATTTTCCCCATTACCCATGCCTGTTAACATAAATACAAAATACTTGCTCTCTTTTCTCTCTTTCTCCAAGTCTAGGTTAGGTGTTTTAGTGTTTATCATACTTCTATATATCTCCCCACTAATCTATGAAATCTTTAAAGACTGAGAATTTACATTTTTACATTTTACCTTTGTGTGTCTAACATGGTTGACCAACTAACTACATTTGAATCAACCTAGATTTTTACATTTTACCTGTGTTAAGATCTCAGGAAAAAATTTCACAAATCACTTTATAAATATTTGATTGTCCATACTGGAAAAAAAAAAGCAAACCAAGAAGAAAATGTAAACAAATGAACAAACAAAAGTCCTAACCCTTAATATTCTAGGTAAAGATTAATAATATTGCTAGTAGAGTAGTAGTTAAAAACTTGGCATAGTTCAGATTCAGGTTCTTCCGCTTCTGTCTGTAGCATAGGGAAAGTTTCTTGACTTCTCTGTGCCCAGCCTTCCTCATCTGTAAAATGATTATAGTAAAAGTAGAGTCAGTTCTGCTATAATGCTTATTTTGAAAACATGAATTTGTTCCAACACAATTGATATACTAGGGAACAATTTGACTATAATGTGAATTTTGCATTTGCTTATATTTGATTTTTATCAGTGGAAAACTGACCTAGTTGAGTACATATACAAACACTCAGATGTATACCAGCTCCCTCAATTCACTGTATGTTATGAACCACACATATCCTATCTGGTGTTAAAATTTTTCATCTGATTTTCAAATAACCCTCCTTCTACCACTTCCCAGTAACTCACAAGCTGCAACTATTTGACATTTCTGTAAGCAACCTCAGGTCTTTTCCAAGGTTAAGTACCATCTTTATTGTAGCATTTCTAAATTTCTTTATTATTTAAAATGCATAAATCTGCTATCATTTTTATGAGGTTCTTATCTTTTTTTATGTGTCATTGATGAAGTTTTTCAGTGTTGGATCCCTAGCTCTGTTTCCCCATAAATCCTGTGGTTTTTTATTGTGCGATTTTGCCTAGTAGGGTGATTTTTGAGAAAGCCTCTGTCAGCTTATAGCGGAACTCTTAACAAAGTAGTTATGAGAATTAAATGATTTATTACACGTGAAGCACCAACAATGATGCTTAACCTAATAAACACCTAATATTATCCAATCTCATCATTATTATTCTTATTGGAATAACTTATTTTTACCAAACATGGTAATGAGCAATATTGATGGAATTTTCCTCTATATACCATGTGTCTTAGACGTTGTTAAAAGATACTCAGATACTATGATTTGTAGACTGTTTATTAGCCTACTAGAGATATATTAGTTATATATATAATTAGATGATTAGTGGATATATATAGTAATTGATGTGGATATTAGTTGAATGGCCCCAAGTGTGATAAAATGTAATTAAGTGTCTGTCCTCCTGAAATAAAATTTATGAAGGTTTTGGTATATATCCTTTTTATTTGTTGAGTACTCAAACATTTACCTAAGCTTGTGATCTGATTCATACTTTGGGCTATTTTGTTGAAGGTTCAGAATGCTAAGCAAGTGAACAGTGCACTTAAACAGAAAATGGAAGGTGGAATTGAAGAATTCAAACCTCCTGAGGTATGTTATTAAAGAATATATGTGACTAAGTATGGAGAAACCTTATTCTTTGAATTATCTATCCTGTATTTACTATTTTGGTTGCATGTGTTAATACTTTGAAGATGTCATAGCGTGGGTAATTTGTCACGTCTCTGTTTTGTCATTTAGATAGTCTTTTGAGACTTGGCTAACGATTTAAGTGAAGTCATTTCTTTCCTGCCGTTAGCAATTCCTATCAAGCAAAGTAAGTAGGGAAAAACAGCTATACTGGTAGGCCCAGTGCACATGAAAATAGAAGGTAATTGATGAGCAAGCCAGTACATATCTGGGTCTGCAGCAGTGTTTGCTCAAAGCCTTTTCCTACCTGTGTGAATTGATAACACAGCAAGAAAAAGAACGTAAGAAAAGGAGCTCATTTAGCAATTTTAGCAATTTTTATTTTAAGGTATTTGTCTTTTGGCTCAGATTTTTAATTAGGATTTTAGTGTGTGGACTTAATTAACATTCTTGTACTCCTATCCCTGAAAATGTGAAATCTAAAAGCAAGAGGTAGATTAACCATTTTCTCATCTTTCTTCTATTTCCTCTGAAACCTAATATATATTTAATATTTATGATAATTATAGGAGTACTTAAATGCCTGTAAAGTCCAATCAAGTCTTTTCACAGAAGCTTCTATTATAAATCTTTTCTCTTGTCTCTCTCTGTTTTTTAAGATTCCTATGCTGTGCTTCATATCCTGGACTTGCCTTTCTATGTATTTAATAATCAGATAATCCTTATTTGGTCCTAATGGGATGCTCCCTCACCCCTCCCCAATCACAAGATGCCTGAAATATCTACAAATGAAATATGCGTGAGGGTCTGGTGGGGAGAGCAGAAGAGTTGGGGGGAGCGCTTCACAACAAATGCACCATATTCTGTCTCACTCATTAGAATCTTTCAGAAAGGAAGAATCATTAGGAATAAAATTGTTCTTGGTTTTTTTTTGTTTGAATGGTCTCTTTCAAGAAAGTTAGATAATGGGAAAAAATGAAATCCACATAGACCGATATAACATCTGATTCCAAACCCACAGATAAACTGACGAACATTCGAGTGACATTTCTGTTTATTTAAAGATAGTAATACAAAGAATACTGCTTTCTATTACTGTGAAAAAAATTATTTTAAATCTTATATTAAAATTGTTTTGGGGCACCTGGGTGGCTCAGTTGGTTAAGCGACTGCCTTCGGCTCAGGTCATGATCCTGGAGTCCCAGGATCGAGTCCCGCATCGGGCTCCCGGCTCAGCGAGGAGCCTGCTTTTCTCTCTGACCCTCCCCCCTCTCATGTACTCTATCTCTCTCATTCTCACTCTCTCAAAATAAATAAATAGATCTTCAAAAAAAATTGTTTTAATTTCATATTTAATTATACATTAAAATGCATAAAAGCCAAAAGCTTTACATGCCTATAATTTCATAACTTAAAAAATTAAGTTAAAAAAATTATAGCAGATATTAAAAATGGGGGAATACCATAAAGAACTTTATGTCAATAAATTCAAAAATTTAAATAAAACTTAGAAATTTATAGGAAAATATATCTTACCAAACTTGTCTTAAGAAGAAGGAAAACCTGATAAATGTATAGTCATTAAGTAAAATGAAGGAACAGTTAACATTTTTTTATAAGGAAATAACAAGCCCAGACAGTTTTACAGAAAATGTCTACCAGATTTTCAAGGAAACAATGATTCTAACCTCACATTTTCCAGAAAATGGAAGGATAGCTTCACTCATTAACATTACATAAAGACATGAAAGTGCAATAGCATTTGTAACTTTATGCTATCTCATTTGATGCTCACATAAATCCCAAGAAGTAGATGAAGCAAATACTATTTTACATGACAAATCTGGGCCTCAGAGAGGTTAACTGGCTTGATCAATGTCACATCTAGTAAATAGTGAAATTTTGGCTATATTTCACAATCTTAGAATCCAGTTGGAGTCCTAGATTGATATCCTGCTCCCTCTTACTTTGGAAAGTTTTCATTTAATGGCAAAATTATATGTTGATTCTCACATTTAAATGCATTTGGGGCTTAGAAGTTATCAGACATTTTTACATCTTTTGGGGTTTTTGTAAAAATAATGATCAAAATGAAACAACCAAAATCTTAGCACTCTACCAATCATACAATGAAGTTTGAATATTACTTTGAGGTTGATTTATTGAACTCCTATGACTTAAAAATGTATGTAGGGTTTATTATCTAGAAAACACTCAGGATATATTTATATTTATCATATTATTTCTGTTCCTTTGCAGGGAAGAACAACCTGAATAGATCTATTTCAAAAAACTAGATTAACAGTCTTTATAAAGACCTTGAAAAATCATGTAATCTATCACCTTTTCTTTAAATAATAGAATTTCTATCTAATACATAATAAAAGAATTTCATTAACCATTAGAACAATAGGCTACTAAGTGATGTAACTCAACTGGAAGTAAACAGTTACTAAGATGCTTTACTTACTCATTTGATTATTATTTTCACTTAGGAAAAAATTTGGTGAAGAAAATTTATTCACTCCCATAAGTATTTATTGATCACTTATTTTATGTAAGGCACTGTTTTAGGCACTGTGGGAAATGTGTGATGGATTTTTCCATCTGCCTTAAAAAAAAAAAAAACACAGTCTAGATGTTATAAGACAAACTGATTAAAGTTGTGTGATAGATTTATAAGTAAAAAACTACAGGAAAACAAGTGATAATTACTCATTCTTGCTAGGATAATCAGGGATGACTTCCTAATGAGGGATGTTTCAGCTGAGGTTTGAAGGATGAGTAGGAGTTTTGCACATACAAAAAAGGGCAGGCAAAGGGAATAATATGAACAGTGACTTGGTATGGAACAGTACATTCAAAATACTTACATATAAATCCTGTGAGGGAAAAAAACAGTCAACAGGCATTCCCTGAACACTTATGTCCTCATTGTGGTGCTGATTACTATTGAGAATTTAGTGAAAGTGTAAAACAATTTTCTCTCATGAAGCATATTGTAGGAAGGCAAAGTTGGATGCAGACGACAAGTGAACGTGGTATATGAGAGGGATGTTAACAGGATTGAGTTCTGCAGGGACTTCTTTATGATAGAGGTCAGTGGGCAAGGGCTAGAGTATAAAAGTCTGAGAGCTAGGAAGAGAAGTTTGCCTTTTAAATTAGGTCAAATGGGAAGACCCTGTAGTTTCTTCAATATAAGAAGGATATAATGGGAATTTTTAATTTTAGGAAGGTTAACCTGGTTACACAGGCTAAATTGAAAACTTCATACCTGCTAAAATACCAACCATGTGAGTGATAAAGTAAATGGTAAAAGGGATTTTGGTATGGTCAGGTATTAGTTGTAGGAGTGGACAGCAAGTGATAAATCCAAAGAACATTGCAAAATAGAAAATAGTATATCTATTTGAAAGTATGTAAGAGTGTTGGGGGGAGTGGTGGTCTGTGGGGTTATGCTTTGATTTGTTTTGGTTGGAGGTAGGAAGGTGGGACAAGGAGATTAATGAAACCAGGAAGGAAGAAACTGGGAGTGCTTTTTGAAGCTAGAAATTTCCCCATCTGTTGATGTTTTCATGCATAGGTGGGTGACATTCTTTCATTATGGATGTTGGATGGAATTTTCAGCACCGGGTGGAAGGTTTAACTTGGTGTCCTCTTCTAATTCTTTCAACTTAAAGATAGTATGAATCTACTACTGACAAAAATGGGAAAGATACGAGAACTAATTTAGCAGGGAAAGGATGCAGTAAAGATGCCGAATTAATGAAGGATGTCATAGATTGTTCTAGAAGGATCTTTGGGGCCTTTCATATTATTAGTTTTATAACTATTATATATTGGATTATTTTAGTTTAGATTAACATTTTATTATTTTAAAAACAGCAGTATTTCTGACTGGGGTTTGCTGTAGAAGAATGTTCTCAGTGGTACTACCTAGCTAACCATAACTACTACACAATTTTAGATTCCTAGATATATTCTAGTTGTCCTTTCTGTAAGTTAAATAAATCTCTGCCAAAGTGTCTTGGGTTTAAAAGAGAATTAAAAAATCAATAACTTGAAGGAATCTTATGTATTTAAAAATTTTGACCCTGTTTCTCCTTCAGTCTTTCCTTTCTTCCACTGCTTCTGTTTTGTCATACAGACTCTTAATTCAATGCAGTTTCAACCCTCCTCCCTGCATTTTTCCACTGAAGCTGCTGTTTAAAGGCTAAAGGCTAACACTGCTGCTGCTGATCAAATTCCCCAGCTCTAACTCATTTTTCTTGCCTTTTCCTGAGCCTTGACATAGATGACAACCTCTCTCTCTTCCTTTAATTTTTGAGAGGTGATATGATATCATTTGTAACTATTATGTTCCCTTTTCAGCTGTAATTTTCCTTTCTATACGTAAATATAAGCATTCTCCAAGTTTTTATCCTCAAAATTCACTTCTCTTCTCTTTGGAAACATCATACAAGCTCATCACTTCACTATACTAAAATTGCATCATATGACACAAACTCAACCACACATATTCAGCCAAGTAAAAAGGAGTATGTTTAGTAATAGCAAGTAGAGGAGAGCTGGCAATCCTGCCTAAATTCCCATTTATCAAGTGTCTCCCGCAAAGTAAGCAGTTAGGGGCTGGAACTTTGAATCCACTATTTCTTTAGAAGGCTTTAGCGTGGGGCACCTGGGTGGCTCAGTCAGTTGGGCATCTGCCTTCAGCTCGGGTCACAATCCCAGGCCCCAGGATCAGGCCCCACGTCGGGCTTTCTGCTCAGCGGGGAGCCTGCTTCTCCCTCTCCCCCATCCTGCCTCTTTGTCTGTCTGTCTCTCTGTCAAATAAATAAATGAAAATCTAAAAAAAAAAAGAAGAAGGCTTTAGCTTCCACAGGCCTCCTGTGTGAGCAGTCTCCTTGACTTGAAATTCTAGTATTTAAGAATGTATTTATGTTTTTCATTCAGTACTACCCTAAATTTCAACCAAAGCTTCATCTAGGATTAACTGAAAAACTAGTGGTCCATTTCAGTGCTGGAGGAATATCTGGCCATGTGGACTTACTGAGAGATTGTGTGCCTGTTTCCATGACCACCTTTGTAAGAACATTTCAATAGTAATTTGGAATTTAAAACAAAAATCTTTTTTTTTTTTTAATTCTTAGGCAGGTTTTAGAACCTTACATCTGAGTAAGATATGACTCCATTGTTTTCCCTCATACAATTTTCCAGACCCTTAAAAGCTGTGTTTGAATAGATGAATCTATTTTAACCTCAAGTGGATGCTGAGCTCCACCTGAATGACCTCATTGTCAGTGAATCCCAAGTTACAGTCATCATCTTAGTCTTGCCTTCCTGCGCCTCCCCAATCAGCAGTTCATGACTTCTTAGGTCCTTAACAGCACCACCCTTCTCCCAGCTCTCCAGGCTTGAAGTCTTATTCTGATTAGAATCCTGCTCCTCTCCCTCTGTTCCCCCTCCCCAAAAATCTATTGCTTATCAGATTTAGTGTGAACTCATTAACCTTGATATTTACTACCCTTGCAAAAGTGGTCCTTACCATATTCTAGTTTAGTTAAATATCACCAACTTTCCAGGTGTATTTATCACTTCTTCTGAATTGTTGATCCTTTTGTTGCCTATACATGGTGTGTCTTCTGCTCTTTGCCTTTCAGAAATTTATCCTGTTGTAACCAACCTCAGTGTCTAGCCCCTCCAGCTGGCCTTCTTCCCTGTTCTAGTCATTGTGACTTTTTCCTCTCATCTTTGAATCCGCAGTATACTCTGAACTTTTAACTTATCCTATCTCCTGATTCGTTTATAAGCTGAAATAAGCTTTCATAGTGCATGGTATTTCTCTTTATTTTTTGCTCCCTTTTCATTAATGATACCTTTTCTTCCAGTTTCTGCCTTTCAGGTTTAACAAACATCTGTTGATCAACTTCAACTTCTGCTTGCTTAGGCACTGTGCCAGGTGTTTTTTACCCGTATCCTAAACATAGCTTTATATATATTTTACATTTATTCTAAATTTAGTCGTCAGAACAACTTGCACTGTAGTATTACAGGAGATCCTCAGTATCCAAATGCTCATTAGTCTAAAGGATTCATAGAGAAGCGAAAGTTGCCAAACAAGAGAATATTCACGAATGAACTAAGCACTTATAAAATTAGGCCCTGCTCATGAGCTATCCCTAGTTAACTCTAGCTGGTATCTTTCCCAGTGAGCTATCCCTAGTTAACTCTAGCTGGTATCTTTCCCATCCATCATATCAACATCCTTCTCTTACTTTCTTGTAATGCAAATACAGCACAAACCAAAATGAAATTTTAAACCTTGCAAAAGATGCAAAACTTCCTGAAGTCTATGAAAGGCCAAGAGAATGGCTTTAATCTCTTGCAAAATTGTTGACAGATGGGTATTTAGCAGAGTTAACAATTGAAGAAAAAAGCATATTGACTCAGACTCACTTCAAAAAAGAATTTGAGTAACAAAGAATTAAGGGAGGCCCTTGAAAAAATTGTTGAGGTCTTCAAAACAAAAATGACCCACTCTGTGCTCATGTTGTAAATTTCAAAGCCAGTGAATATTACACCATTGTATGGTCAGCAAAGATATGCCAAAAATAAAATTAAAGCATATAAGCAAAGTCATTAACTATTAAAATAATTTTCATAAGTTTTAGTTTCATATTTCAGGTTAAGTTGCACTCAACCCTTTATGTTATACCATTTATTCTGAAATATTTGGACCTGTTTTAATAAGGTTCTAGTACCAATTATCCTTGGGTACCAAGGACCTCTTTTATCTACCTTTCACAGTGAAGGTGGCATCAGACTGCCTGGGTATTAACTCAAATATTAACTCCTATTCCATTCTTGTTCATCCTCTTTTTGGGGAACATATGTTTAGAATTTCAGGTTTTCTTGAATTTCAGATTTCTAGAATTTCAAGTTTCCTTTTTCTTTTTCTTTCCTTTTTTTCACTTTTTAAACCTTGGTTCACCCTTCTCTTATTACTGCTTCTTTATAGCCTATAGCCCCCTCTTTTTCTTTACCTTTTTTTTTTTTTTAAGATTTTTATTTATTTGTCAGAGAGAGAGAGAGAGAGCACAAGCAGGGGGAGCAGCAGAGGAAGAGAGAGAGAAGCAGGCTCCTCACTGAGCAAGGAGCCCGATGTGGGGCTCGATCCCAGGACCCTGGGATCATGACCTGAGCCAAAGGCAGACGCTTAACGACTGAGCCACCCAGGCGTCCTTTCTTTACCTTTTTAATGTTCTTTTGCTTCATTGCCAGTATGCTCATCTTGAGGCTTATCCATTGTCTGCCTGGCCTTGCCTTGCTCTCTTCTTAGTCTCATCATCTGGTGTTCAGTGCTTTCTGCTCTAGGTTTTTTCCTCCTTTAACTCAGTCTTTTTTTTTTTTTAAACTTTTTCCTTTCTTCCCTAATAATTTTTTTCTAATTTTGAATTTTTGTTTTATTCTTTCTTCTGAATGCTTACTTTGTATACCTCTTCACCTGTGGTGAGAAAGTAGATGTTCCCCAGAACCTCTGTGTACTGTAGAAATTTTTATTGCTAAGACCGTGAGTGAGATAAAACCTAAACACTTGTTCTCAGAGGAAGCCTTTCTTTCTGTTTTGCCCAGCTTATCCTGTAATCACACCAGGCCAATTTATCTGGGCAGTTTCTTCTGTAAATCTCTGTAGGCTGGTATACTTATTTCTCTGTCCCTCCTTCTACTGCCAACGGTCCTTGCACTAATCAGTGGGTATACACGAATGAAATTTGATTTAGTGTTTAATATGGTAGTTTTGCCATAATGAAAGTCCTAAATTTAGGATTTTTTTTTTAACAAAAATATTGGGAGAAATGTGGGGAGGCCTTAGGGGGAAAGAATCTATTCTTATAGTGGGTCACTTTCTGCTTCAGAAATTTAAAGAAATATTTTAGGAATTAGTCCTGATCTACAGTTCTGTATTAATTTATAACACTGGTTTTGATGGAGTAAGGTTAGGTTTAATCGAAATGTAAAGAGAATTTTAGAGCAAGTCACAGATCCTCTCTAAGGAAGATAAAGTCTCTTAAATGTTTAAAACTAGGCTAAAATTAACACTTGCCATGTGTCATAGGAACATTGTAGTTGGAAAATGGATGACTAATAGATTTTCTCAGTTTTAATGCCTCTGACTAGAGTATAAATGTGAATGTTGTTCATTCTCCCAAATTGGTACATTTCCCTTTCATTATCTTTTTGTGTGGGTAAAAGGTAACTCAATGTATTTTTTAATCCTTATAAAAGCAGAATCTTCATAAATCAGTTTTAGTAATCTCATGTCTATGATTTGGTGAAAAGTTAAAAATAAGCACTTTGGAAAAATGTCTGTCTTCATATCCTCATTAGGAAACTTCTCTTTAATTTTGTAGTCAAATCAGAAAATTAATGCCCGTTGGACCACAGAGGAGCAGCTTCTAGCAGTGCAAGGTATATTAAAGATAAGCAGTTATTGTTGTTAATTATTTAACTTGTCATGAAAGGTGACTATCATAGTCCTTCCCTTCCTTAGAAATGGATCAAGAAAGGGCACTTGTGTTTACCACAAAGTCCTGAAAACCAGGAATTCTGTTTTGTTCTTGTGGATGTGACTTTACTGAGCCTATATGCATTTTGGGTCCTGTACAGCACGTAACACATTCTCAGCCTTAATGATGGTGATGACAAGCTTGAACAAGTCATATGGTCTCTCTGTACCTTTGCTTCAGTTTTCCTGCAGTTGGGTTCATTCTTACTATATTAGTCATTGATAACTCACCATTAAAAGCATAAACTATTGTATGTTTCCGGTTTTTCCAATTACTTTGTATAATAGTGTTTCTCTATTTGACAAATGTCATTGCTGAAAATATTAATGATTACTTAACTTTCAGTGTATCATAACTTAAGAGATGTGCCACTGAATGCTTAGAAACCTGACTTTAAAAATACATATGTACTTGTATATAAACAATAAAAGAGAAAGTTAAGAGATACATTGAAAAATATACATAGAGCATTTTGAACGCATTTATAAGAATGCTTTGTTGAATTATATGGCAGAGCACTTTTTGTATTATGAATGCCTGTGGGCAGATTGGTAGTGTTATAAACTTGGATTTTCTCATGTTTGAATTACTTAAGGAAGGGCAAACTGTATATTTTTTAATTCAGTGTTGTAGTTTTCTTTTTTTTCTTTTCCGTTCAAGATAAACTATCTGCAGGACTGATTGTGTAATTATAAGTTTGGTCTACAATTTGGTTTTTCCTGGCTGAGCTCTCTTTGTGTTGAGAACTAATAGCTTTTTTATCTAAGTTAATTACTATAAGAGAGTTGGACCCCTGCAAAACATAGAAGTATACTTTGAAAAATATTTCTAATTATTCAAACACAGAGAACATATTTAACTCAAAAAGGATGTGCAGGTATCATTTAGATGTGAGAATAATGTAATTAAAGATTGATTAATAGATGACTGCAGTTTGGACTAGAGTAAGAATTACCCTGCCAGTGTGATTAGAAAATGTCACAGGATAGTGCCATCAGGATGATGTCAGCCTTCTCTTTGGCCTATATGGCACAAAACAGTCATTTCATAAACAGAATAAATACTTGATCTTATGGAGGCAGGATGCTGGATGTGCACTGAGCACATATGTAATTGTGGAACCAAGTTTCTGAATGAGTCAGAACAAAGTTTAATGAGTTTATAATGTTCAGTAATAGCTATTTTTAAATTAGAAACTGTTTAAAATTTAGATTAAAAAATGAGTAGGGGCGCCTGGCTGGCCTAGTTGGTAGAGCATGCGACTAGATCTTAGGGTCATGAGTTCAAGCTCCATGTTACTAAAAAAAAAAAAAACAAAAACAAAAAAAACTAGTATTTTCAGGGGCTGTTTCATATTAATTTAGATCTGTGACTTACAGCTCTAACATAGTGATTTGGGGAAGCATTGCTTTTATTGATGTAAAGCTTGTATTTCTGTCCATCCGTGTGTGTGTGTAGCCTGTAGAATTTAGTGTGTGTGTGTAGCCTGTAGAATTTAGTGTGTGTGTGTGTGTAGCCTGTAGAATTTAGTGTGTGTGTGTGTGTGTGTAGCCTGTTGTGTGTGTGTGTGTGTGTGTGTGTGTAGCCTGTTGTGTGTGTGTGTGTGTGTGTGTGTGTGTGTAGCCTGTAGAATTTAACCCTGATTTCCAGTATTTTAGTTGCTTCAAGTTTAGTATATTAATCCTGTACTCTAATATGAAGATTATCCCAGTGAAAGGATTTTTCTGGAGAGACTCACTGAGGAAAATCTGGGCTAATGTTTCTAGAGCATTCAGGTTTTGATACCGTTCTGCAGCACTACCGTGGAATCTTATGCCTGGGTTGAATATTATGCGGAGCTGCATTCAAAGGAAGGGACAATGGCAAGATTTACATGTATAGTTTGAGCTATATATATGGACATTATCTTAGTTTATAAATATTAAAATAATATTTATGGATATAATCAAACATTTCCTCTCTGCTGAGATATATTCAGTATTCTTATGCACATTTGAAAAGTAATTCTTAATTATACTAATGCAGCAATTTGTACAAAAATATGCATGTTCTTAGGATTTTGAAAGCACTTTCTTGATATGTTAATGTCTTTAACTCTATATGTGGAACTTTTGTTTCAATTCGGGTTTTTTAGGGGTTTTTTTGTTTTTTTCTTCTGGGAGGGGGGTTCATTACATAAAATAAAACAATATAGAGCTATTTGTGTCCAAAATAGTTATTTTAGGGAAAACTAAAAAGTGCCATTTTTGCTAATAAGCCCACATGTTTACATAATGCTCAGAAGTGTGTCTTATAAACAGTATAATCTTATAGTAATGTCACATGTACCTGAATCTCAGTGTGGTTAGGTACATAACTGCAGTTTTTATTTGAACATGTAGTTTGCTGTCCAGAAAGACCTATCTTAGCAGGCAGTTATTTTGTTTTTCTTCTCTTTAATCTTTATTTGTGATAAACTTTTATATGATATTATTACGACTGTTTCAGTTTTACAAAATAGTAAATCATATAAGTTTTGATATTAACATTTTAGTTTATAAGCACTTTCTTTTTAAGACATTTTGTATATATATTCTGATTTAACACTCATTTGTTAAATGCCTTTTTAAATCTCCCTCATAGTTGACTATTAGAGTGACCTGAAGAGAGAAATATAAACTCTGGTGTCATTAGTGAGACTTATACTGTTAAATAAACTTTTTTATTTTAACTCCTTTAAAACCACATATGTGTATTAGGATCATTTCCTAGGGCTTAAATATATATTTCCCATTTTTTCCCCCATCTACTTAATACTACTACCACTTAAATAATAACTATTTAAATAAATAATGAACTATTTTTCCTTCTTTCTCCCTTATTTGGAAGGGGGGAAATCATGTTCAGACCAAACATGAATGTTTATACTTGTGTAATCTATCACTTTATTATGTTAATTTTAGTTCTAAATTTTAGTTCTAGCTATGTTATAACTTCATTAACATTCTTCAAGAGTCCCCAGGTAGGATGTTATAAATGTGGCTAATTTAAACCTCTCTCTAAAAAGTACTTAAGAATGGTATTTCTATACTTTCAGTAATCTGTGCCAGCCTTAAGTATCTGAGTTTTCTATTATAACAGATTAGCCAACAGGAGATTAATTATAGTCTTCACAATTTGTGTGAATGGAAATATCCCTGTTTATAGTTTGTGTCATATATGTATAAATATTTTTTCTAATTTGTAGTGCTTTTAGAAATTATCCTAAAATCAACTTGATAGATATTCATATGTGATAAACATTTCTTATTTAGCAAGAATTAGATTCTGGGTGTATTGTTTTTCATGTAAAATGGAACAATTATTAGCTGTTTTCAAAAAAATAATAATACATTTAAATGATAGTACAAAACATTGACTCTTCAAAGTGTAGAGGGGCAGAAGCCTGGTATACAATATTTTAGGCCTTCTCTTTATCGCATTTATTTTATAATCATTAGTGCTAAAAAATAATACAGTCCCCAACTAAAATATTAGTGCTATTTTACAGTAAACAACAAGAAACTTTTCCGGTTTTATCAAGATATCAGCTTTAATTTTTAGTTTAGTTTTTTTTTTATATTGTCTGCCTTCTCTTATAAAACAGGAAATGACAGAACTACATTCAAATCAGTTATGCTTTCACAGTTAAATGTTACCTTCTCTTCCTGTAGTTTATACATTTCATTCGTTTTTAGGTTGCAAGCCTAGAAATTGTCTTCTTTTTAAAATTTTATCTCATACATTAAGAAAAAAGCTAGAATGGTTCCTAAAGGAGGGAGAAAGAGATTCGGCACTTGATTAAAACATAGGGATTGTAACCCAGTACATGAGTGATCAAAAGTAAATGGAGATCAGGAGATTCATATTTTTCCATTTAAAAGACACTCATTTGCTTTAGATAGTTTCTGCTATTAAAACAGTTATCATAAGAATGGACACCCAAAAGCATAATTGTCAGCCCTCTGATGCATTCACTTCAGATAATTCATGATTCAAAATTTCCAACCTCTTCGTGTTAGAACTTAACTTGTAACACAGATGATGGGAACACAAGACTCAGAAGAGAAAGGCTAGATATTAGAAAGAGAATATATGATTTTGACTTCTAGCCCTCACCTAGATGCATCATTCACTGTCCAATTGCTGTTGATATCTTTTTTTTTTTTACTTTAATATGAATTCTTGAAGAGATTTATAGGAGGCGGGAAAAAATGCATGTTCCCAAATGGTTTGAGTTTAAAGTTAATCTCCTACTGATAGGAAAGAACCACATCCCTGGAGTTTCTAGATGTCACTATGTTCTTATTTCAAAAATAGATTTCCTGGTTATACTAAGTACATGCTCACTTTAAGAAATATTGTTATAAGAAGCAGGAAACAATATCCCCCCAAATTTTACTGCCTAGAAGCAGCTTGCCACTGTAATGTTTTGACTTTTTTGGGGGAATGGGGTAGCCCAAAATTAGATTTTAAAAATAACTTTTTAAATATACCAAAAGCAGACTCATGATATCCCTTCTATCTCCGGAGGAGGAAAAAAAAAAAGTCTGTAGTTTTTATGTCTAGAGTTGGAAAATACCACACTACAGATGCTCCTCAATAGCCCAATTTTAAAAAATACAAATGTATTTTTTTGTTGTTGTTGGGCAGAATGAAGAATACTGTTTGGAAAATGTGGGCTTTTATAAAATGTGATGGTAGTTTGTTTTTTTTTTATGTTAATTCCCAAACAAAATTTCAGAAGTGTATGTTAAAGATTATAAGGTATCATCTACCAGCATAGGAAGGCAAGTTGTTTGTAACTTTCAAAATTTGACTGAAAACACTTTTTTCCTCTTCCTGGGAAATTTACAATTTACCTCTTCCAGGATTTTCCAAAGTTTCATTCTACTAACCTTTAAAAACTGACCTTTTGCCCCAAGGTGAGAAGTTTAATTTGAAACCATGGTTCAGATGGACCTAACCCTTTTACATCTTCAGGAAGATACAGAGATTTAATCACTGTGTTTGATTCCCTCGCTGATAAAGCAATCAGATGACCTTACTTATTATAAATTGTGAAAAAAGAATGGACCACCCTTCTTCCACGTACAAATTGGAAGTAAAGTAGCTCTGATGTCCTGGGTTGTTAAAGTTAGTTGCTCTGCATTGCTACCCCTGCTAGGTTTTCCTCCAGAAGCCTAGCTGGGGATTCTTCTGAAGGACCTGTTCTAGTAAGTCTTCAGTTGGTGTTTCACTAGAATTTACCTAGTTATCAGCCATAGTATAGACATAAGAATTCCACCTTCTAACCAAAATATGCTGTTGAACCAGCATCATGGGAAGTGTGAGGGTAATAAAGAAGTTAGCTATATGCGACTCTTTGAGGAAGAAAAATCTCTCCTATTTCCTGAGCACTTCCTGTGTACTGAGCATTATATTTCATAGGACAGTACTTCCCAACTTTTCTCACATTGTGGCATACAGAAAAAATTATGAAATTTGTCACAACACACTGGGGCAAACTCATGAGACTGCTGTTGTCCAGAAAGGACTGCCAAGGAGCACTAGCTGTTCCAGACCCTGCCCAGCCATCCTGCAGGCTGAGCTCATTAACATCCCCGAAGGCCCATTGTTCTCAGGACATGAATGGGATCCTCAACCAGATTACAAAAGTCTGCAGTATGGTCTGAGCCTTAAGATTTTACAAAGTAGTTTATATGGCATACCTGAGTTAATGATAAACATACCTGGGTGACTCAGAACCTAGACGACTTGGAAAAAGTCCTTGACATCCAGAGTGTCTGGGAAAACTAAGGCTCCTATAAAAAGTAGTTTTGGTTTGGGGGTCTATAATTCTGGAAGTGCAACAGTGTTGGTGACAAGGTAAAGTCCCTTGAGCAAGAGAAAATAAAATGGAAGATCAAAAAAGAGGGGACGGTTATAAAATGGAATCAGACATGGGGACAACTTACTGATAGGTTTTGGAATATATTTTGCTAAATAGGTGTTCTGAGGATTGTAATATCTTCATACTTGGAGTCAGATAGTCTTAATGTGACTTCTTGCTATGATACAGAAGAGCTAATCTTAGATTTATTTAAAGTTTTCATTTCCAAACTCATGTATTCAGTAGATTTGGTCATTTCTGCAATGTAAATTAAATATCCCTTGTAAAAATTACTGCATCGCTAGAACTCTGTGTCTGATTTCTAGTTAGGAGTTATTTTTCAGTGCATCAGTCTCAAATGAGTCATTACTTTCCAAAGTATAAGTAGTAGAGAAGTACTTGAATATGTAGCAGTAATTCCTAATATTAAATAAACTTGGATTTTTATTGTCAAATAAACCCTCAGTGGAACCTAGTCACCCTTAGAATTTTTACTCAGTTACAGAGTTTGAACTGGAAATCAGCTCATGGATTTAAAGAGAACTTATGTTGCTAAATACTGTAAACAATGTTAAGTGTCATAATTTATTGTCATGCATATGTCTTTCCCTTTGAGAACAGAGCAAATGAGCACAGTTTACAGACCCCAAACTCTATATTAAAACTCATTATAGCTTAATAATGTCAAACTTCCTGCCCAAAATGCTCTTTAAGATAAAGGCACTCCCCCTAGAGTCAAGCCTGGCTAGTTGAATATAAGCAAGAGATACTCATTCCCAAGTTCACCATATAAAATAAAGGCAGAAATTAAAAACAAGAATTTTGTCGTATCGTGGTAATTGGGTAGATCATACCAATAGGTATCTATAAGAATGAATCTAGCATTTCTCCTGAGGTGTTAACATATCCTTATATTATTCTCTCATCTTTGATTATATACATGTTGAATTTATTTAAATTCCCATGATTCTGATGGCTTAGGTTACATTATAGACTTTAATATCATAAGTATCATTTTTTTCTCCTTTTTCATCTTTGTAATTAATGAGTGACTGTTTTCTGGTATTTTAAACACTAGTTATGAAATTATAAAATCAAAATTTTTGACACCTTTTATTTTGAGTTAAATGATGAGTTAGTGAACGTCCTTTTAGAATTCCCTTAAGGGCAGTTTATTATCCATCTTGATTATATAAAGTCATTCCAAATTCTGTAGTATAAATGACTATCTCAAGTTCATAAATCAAATATTATCTTTCATTATAATAAAATTCCCATTACAAAAAGTTAGGTTCTCAAATAACTGAATGTTCTTATATTTAAGGTAGTGATGATAAGCAAAAGTACACATAGCCACTACTGTAACCTTATTCTTTAGGCTATAAAGTATAGTTGTAATCTTCCACATACACAGTCTTTGGAACTATTAGATGAGTTGAAATCCAACTGACTCTGAAAAATAGCTTCTCTTTTTTTGCCCATCACATTGTGATGATTCACTTTTTTATGTTTCAATTCTTATTTCTATTCATTGGTACCCTGGTGAGATTAGGCAAGTAATCCTCTTGAAGCTGGTATTAAGACCAAAATTATGATGCTTTTCTTAATGGGGGAACTCTAAGACTACTCACTCAGTCCATTGAGGGGATAAAAGAGATGGCTCATTCCCATCCAGTTTTGTTTACAAACGGTGTTGCTCAAATTTAGGTGACTGGCTACTAGGGAAATAAATGAATGTGGAATTGAGGATGGAACAAAGAATTCAATGCTTTACAATAAATGGACTATATTTGAGAGTTCAAGAGAGGATTGGAGAAAATAACTGAGTATGTAAAAAATGGTAAGTTTCTGATTGTTCAGTTGAAGGCAAGTGGCTGGCTCACTGAAATGACATAATTGATAGTTTTCATCTGTGACCCTGATATCTTAGTCTCTATCTCAGAATTGAGAAATGAGCAGAGTTTATGAGAAAGGATTTTCATTGCTGGTATCTTTTGTGTGTGCATGATGTATAGTACACACAGCTCTCCTTATTGATCCTTCACAGGTGTATTATTTACTTTGCCTTCCAGGTGTCCGCAAATATGGTAAAGATTTTCAAGCTATTGCAGATGTAATTGGCAACAAGACTGTTGGCCAAGTGAAGAACTTCTTTGTAAACTACAGGCGTCGGTTTAACTTAGAGGAGGTATTGCAGGAGTGGGAAGCAGAACAAGGAACCCAGGCTTCTAATGGTGATGCTTCTACTTTAGGGGAGGAGACAAAAAGTGCTTCTAATGTGCCATCAGGGAAGAGCACTGATGAAGAAGAGGAGGTGTGTTTGTGTATGGAATTTGAGCTAATATGAGTTGAGGAATCATCATTTTGTGTGGTGTTCTATAAGGTTAATTTGTCAGAGGACTAGCTAAATGAGCATGAAAGGTTGACAATACACTTACTCAGTGGTGCCTCTCTCGTGACTCTCAAGTCCTAATGACATGCTAAGTTCTGATCCTAGAAGAATGGAGAGTGTATTGTTCTTTCATAGTCTTATTTTTATTTCCAGTGTTAAGCTGTTTACTAATAAAGATGCCTGTTTGGTAGCTTCGTTGCTTTTTCGGTTTTTGGTTTTTTGTTTTGTTTTGTTTAAAATAAAAGAAGCTTGTGCTTCCAAAAAACACTGGTGTTACGTTTTTGTTTTGTTTTGATTTGTTTTGTTTTTCCTGTGACATCCCAAACTATATTGTATTCAGTTCATTAGGAACTCTCATCTCATACATGTATTTTTGTTTCCTCACCTCTAGGCACAGACCCCACAGGCTCCTCGGACTCTGGGTCCATCACCTCCTGCCCCATCATCCACTCCAACACCAACAGCCCCCATTGCCACTCTGAACCAGCCTCCACCACTTCTTCGTCCAACACTGCCTGCTGCCCCTGCTCTTCACCGGCAGCCTCCTCCACTCCAGCAGCAGGCTCGGTTCATCCAGCCCCGGCCAACTTTAAATCAGCCTCCACCACCTCTCATTCGCCCTGCTAATTCTATGCCGCCCCGTCTAAACCCAAGACCAGTATTGTCCACGGTTGGTGGTCAACAGCCACCATCACTTATCGGAATTCAGACAGATTCACAGTCCTCACTGCACTAAAATTAAATTGGACAGAACTACAGTAACTTTTCACCCCATCATTATACCAGTGCTCATCAGACTGATGCAAAAGAGGAGAGAACAGTCCCTCCTAGATGCTGAGGCTGCGAACTAGTTTTGTGGCAGTAGGGTAACATAAGTGGATGTCTAGGAAATTTTTTGGTTCGTGCAACCGAACTAAATGTTACACAACAAAAAGCCTACAGTTAGCCTCCTTTCTAGAGTATACGTTCAGCGACATCTCGTAAAAGGAAAAAAAAAGATTAAGTATTCTATATACCAAGGTTTTTTTTTTGTTTTGTTTTTACTGTATTTATTTTATTGAGATTCTTTATATTTCTGCCTCTTCGTAGTCAAGGCTCTTAGTACAGAAATACTGACTTAGGAATTGTGAAAACTCCTTAAGTTTCTTAAGGATGTTTGACTTTTTTTCTTTCTTCCTTAATTTAATTTTTAACAACATTTTCCTATGTTAGGAGTGCAAGAATAAATAGCCTGCTTTTCAGATTTTGACATATGTTCATTTAATGCATATTTAAGAATTATAGTGCATATCCCTTTTTTCAAAAAATCTTGCTTTTTTTTCTAAAGGAATTTTAATATATTCCTTTAAAAGAAAGCAATTGAATCAATTGCAAAGCAATTATATGAAACCACAAAGAATGTACTGAACCTACTAACCCTTGAACATACGCTTTAGGGTCCTAATGCAAAGTCCTTGCTTAAAGGTCATTGACCTGTCATCTACCAGTAATAAGAGGATCGGAATAATAATTTTACATACAAATGAGAATTTGTTGAAGTACAATGTCTTTAAGTTCCTTGAAAATGGAGTTAATTTTGATTTTTTAAAAAAATGTTTCTAAATGCTATCTGCTTTTAACTAGTAGTTGCCTATATTTGGGGACTTTAGAAGAGAATTATATTTTGTCAGTTACGTGGAGATAGTGGTTATGGAAGCATTTATTTACAATACCCTTTATGTGTTTAGGTTCTGACTTAAAATTGCCCTCACACTTATTAATACGGTCTGCATTTAATATAAAGGATGTTTTCTTGATAAATCTCTATTGTACTATTTGGATACATTTGTGTATTCCTTGCAGCCGACCTGTGCTTGTGGGTTTGGTTTAGGGTTAAATCAACATTATTTCATAAAATAAATTTCAGAATTTGTTCTGTGTTATCTAAAGATGTATCAGTATATTGTCACAATTGTGCTGTTAACTTAAAATGCTGAGACCCCCTTTTTATAAAGAAGCAAAAACATTTCAAGTCTTAATTGAACACATAAATCATTAAGCACCTACAAAGAATATTTTACAAGTTATAGTATTTCAACAATGTGTTACTAATATTTTTGATACGGTGATTTCATATTGGAATCATGACTTGTGCAAAGGGACAGATCACTTAAATAACTATACTAGTGGAACTTAAGGCTAAATGTTTGCACATTTATATTCTCATCATATCTAGAACTACTTCATGAAATAGTCAACATCTAAGGCCCTTGATTTATGTTTTGAGAAGTCCTGTATTCCCAATATTGGAAAAATAGTTCCTACCATTGGCTCTAAAGCCTTAAGGAGCTATTAGATTTAAATTCATTGATTAGTTTTAATTTGGAAGTTTAGACCTCTTCTCTTCATAAGGACCTTAAGTTCTGGCACAAACCTTTTCCAGGGTGTATCTTGTCTTTCTCATTGGATCATCTTAAATAGTTCCTGCCCCTGGATTGTAACTAGATAAAAATCTGATTTAAAATTCTTCATATTCAAGAATTTACACTTATTTTTACTTTAAAAGCCACGGGGGTGGGGGTGGGCAGTTATATATCTTAAAAGAAAATATCTAAAGCATTTTTTTAAAGTACTTAGATTGTCTTGCATATGTGCATACTATACGGCTTTTATTGTCTTGTCTCTTGTCAGTAGACCTTCAGTATACAGTGTGTGGGACATGTCAGTCAAGTTGGTCAGCACCAGCATCTGTCCAGCTGTTAAGTATATTATGATTCGTTTAAAAATCTGTTCTATGCCAGCCGTGGGCCAAGATGCTGTATCTGAGGGATGTGCTGTGATTTGATTTACGTACACTAGAGCACACAGTAGAAAAATCTGAGCTTCATTAGTAATACGACACATGTATATAGTGAGATGTCTTATTGTGTGCTTTGCATATTTTGTAAATATTTTGCACGTCATTAATTTTCTTTTTTGTTTAAGCAGTGTTTGGCCTGGAAGAGTGATATGCTTGCTGCTTAATCAAAGGATTAAAGAGTTAAAGATGTCTATGTCTTCTATTTTTATATAATTTCATGTTGTATGAAGAATTTAGGACCTCTTCACTGTGAAACTCTAAATATTGATTTTTATAAAAAAGCAAAATCTAGAAATATTTTAATGACCATTTCATAATGTCAAGGTTATCATTTTTGAAAAATCTACACCCAACTATTTTTTTCATTACATAACTAAAAATAAATCACACTGTTGATACGCCTGGTAATATTAATGAAAAAATATTTTTTCTATATTCTTTAATTCCAGTGTAATATGGATGGAGGTGAAAGGTAAGTTTTGATCAGAACTTTTCCTTAATCAATAATCCTACAATTGAGTAAAATGCAATGTAGAATAAAGATGAAAGAATGTAAAATTCTGTCTTAATATAGGCCAACATTCTTTTTAGGAATAGATACAGGGAATAAGCAAAAAAAGTGACAGTCATAATTTTAAACAATATTAAGAATATTGCCAAGTTTTTTTGGTTGAAGTACTGAGTTTAGTTAGTAAATATGTTGTACTATTTTAATGTTCCTTCCTGCTATCAAAAGTAGATTACTCAGACACGTTACTTGTGGCTGGTCACTTAATACTAGGGTATCGAGTCTCCTCAAAACAACTAATAATCTGACTTAGAACTCAAGGCAGGATCTGTCTTTCTCTTTGTGCTTCCCCAAAATAAATGATGAATACATTCTAACTATAGGAAAACACAAGAAAAAGAAATTAACATGTTTGTGTTTTTTAACCTAGGCATTCATTATAGATATTCATAAGAAGAGAACGGAGTAAATGAAAACAAAGAATCCAATAACAAGTTTGAGAAACCATGTGATATAAAATGTCTGTAAGAAACGACCTCATATTCTGACAGCATTAATGGGGGTACATAACCTGCCTTCTCTTAGGATAAAGTAGATCACAAATAACCCCTCCCAGCTTAAATCTGTATCATAATTTTACCTTAATGAAGGAATGTTCTGCAGCAATAAATTTTAGTAGCAGTGGAGTTTGGGAGTAAAATATTAAAAGGAGTGTTCCTGAATGTGTGAGTTTGTATCTAAAAGGCCGTGTGGCTAGATTGTTGTTTATTGATAAGGGAATGGGTATTTACAATGTGCTAACTTAAACTTTAGAATCCTAAAACTGGAATTTGGGTGAGCAGAGTCTCTTAAGGAAAACAGGCTGGGATTGTGAACTAGAGAGATCTAGGAGCAGTCTTCTCAATGTAAATGGCATAAAGGTTAACCTCCCAGAATGCTTTATATAATGTCTTTCTTCTTTGGATTATTTTAAGAAAGGTTAAATTTTTATTCTGTATTGTTTAATTGTATTTAAACATACAGGGTACAGTTACCATAACTAAGGAGATCTTGAATAATATCACAACAAAAGTTATCTCTTGAGCCATCTAGTGTACTGCCCAGAACAGCTTTCATGATTGGTAGGGTTTGGCTTCAAGAGGCCTTTATTCCTAAGACCATTTTGTTCATATGTTGTTGCTTTTCCAAAACAGAGTTTGAAAACAGTCATTGAGGGGCTCGTCATTTCGTTTATATATGCAAAGGAGTCCTTACACTATGGTGACTCTTTTCCAACCCCATTCAACAAGTTAACTTCACATCATGAGCCTCAGTTTATTTTTCTTCCCTTCCACAATCTTACTGACAGGACAATGACAAAAATCGAAATAGCCCCTAACGGTGCAGGAAAGCCAGGGGAGGTGCCACCAGCAGATGGAAACAGGTTTATGACAAAACCTAACAATTGAGGAACCTCTCAATTCCACGAAAGCAAAAGCACAGGGAAACATTCTCAGAAGTGCCCCATAATAACCTCAGGTTAGAGGCAGAGACAGGAACAGCACCCGCAAGATTCCTGCTTCCTGGTATTCATGCCTTTGTGTGTAGTCTGGGTGTAATGACTCGTTTCTGACCAATAGGATATGGCAAGGGTGATGACGTCACTTCTGTGGTTAGGTTAAAAGATTGTGATTTCGGTCCTGTTAGTAGACTATATCACATTCTCTGGTTGCATTGCAGCAGATGAGAGACCATGAAGCAGAGAACTCAGCCAAGCTGTGCCCTGATTTCTTACTACAGAAACTGAATTAATAAGTGTTGTTTTGAGCTGCTAAATTTGGGGGTAGTACTCATTATGCAGCAGTAGAAAACAAATACAATAGATGTATACCATCTTAACACAAGAAAATTGGAGTGAGTAGATAAATGTCAGAGATTTCAAAGCAAAAAATATTATCAAAGACACAGATGGTCATTTAATAATGATAAAGGTGCCAAATCATCAAGAGGATCCCCGTGAGAGCTGCAAGTAGGCAAATCCACCATTAAAGTCCGTGATTTCAATACCCACATCTCAAAAATTGATAGAACATGAAAACCAAAAATGAGTAAGAATATAGAAGACTTGAACAACACTATCAATCACCTTTACCTCTAATTGAAATTCATAGATCATTCCACCCGACAACAGAATACACATGAAGTGTTTCCAAGATAGACCATATTCTGTGCCATAAACAAGTTCTAATAAGTGGAAAAGGATTCAAATCTTCTGGAGTTATGTCCTCTGAATACAATGGAATTAGAAATTGGCAACATAAATCAGCAAAATCCCCAAATATTTGGAAATTAAACACATTTCTAAATAAGCTATGGGTCGGAAAATAAATTACAACAAATTAGAAAATATCTTGAACTGAAAATAAGAACACAGAATATAAAAATCTGTTGGATGCTGCAAAGTTGTGCCTAGAAGGAAATTTCTAGCTTTAAATATATTAGAAAGATTTAAATCATCTAAGCTTTCTTCTTTAAAAGCTAGGGGGAAAAAAGTAAACTCAAGCAGAAGAGAAGAAATAAAGATCATAGTTGAAAACTAAATAGATAACAGGAAAATAGAGAAAAATCTCTGAAACCAGTAGTAGCTTCTCAAAAAGATCAACAAAATTGAAAATTTATTAGAAAATTTTTTAGATCAAGAATAAAAAGTGTGTAAATTACCAAAATCTAAACTGGAAGAGTGGTCATCATTGTGTAACCTACAGAAATGAAAAGAATTTGTAAAGGAATATTTTTGAGTACTTTATGCCAACAAATTGGGAGATGTTTATGAAACGGACAAATTCTTACCAAAACTGTCTCAAATAGAAATAGAAAATCTGAATCAAGAAACTGAATTTGTAACTTAAAATCTTCACACACAGAGAAGTCTTGTCCCAGATAGCTATACTGGTGAATTCTATCAAATCCTTAAATAAATAATACCAAACCTACACAAACTCAGAAAATACAGGAAGAAAGAACACTTTCCGACTCATTCCATAAGAGCATTATTACTCTGATTCAACGCCAAATGAAGATAAGAAAACTTCAGACTAATATCTCCAGTGAACAGAGATGCAAAAATCCTTAGGAGGATAGCAGCAGCATCCAAAAAGAATTGTACAACATAACCCAGTGGTGTTTATCCCAGGAATGCAAGTTTGGTTTAACAGTCAGAAATCAGTTAAGGTTGATTTCTTTCTGTCAATAGTTGACAGAATAGGGTGCCTGGGTGTCTCAGTTGGTTAAGCGACTGCCTTCCGCTCGGGTCGTGGTCCCGGAGTCTCGGGATCGAGTCCCACATCGGGCTCCCTGCTCAGCAGGGAGTCTGCTTCTCCTTCTTACCCTCCCCCGTCTCGTGCTCTCTCTCGCACTCTCTCTCTCAAATTAAAAAAAAAAAATTGACAGAATAGTTGATTTCTTTCTGTCAATAGTGCAGGGTTTCTCAGCGTTGGCACTATTGACATTTTGGGCTAGATAATTCTTTGTTATGCATTGTACACTGCATAGCAGAATCTTCAGCCTCTATTCACCAGGTGCCAGTAGCATCCTCTCCCCCAATCCCAGTTTGACGATCATAAATGTCTCCAGCCATTATCAAATGTTCCCCAAGGAGCAAAATCACCCTCTGCTGAGAATCATTGCGGTATATCACATTAACAAAATAAAAGGAAAAGACAGTCATATCAGTAGACATGACTGAAAAGATATTTGACAAAATCTACACCCATTCAGGATAAAAAAAAAAAAAAACACCTCTCAGAAAACTAGAAATATAAGAGAACTTACTCAATCTGACAAAGGGCATCCATAGGAAGCCCATAAGTAATGTCATACTGAACTGAATGCTTTTCCCAAGGATTGGAGCCAAGGGAAGGGTATCTGTTCTCACAACTTCAACATTTTACTGGACATTCTAGCAAAGCAAAAAGGTGAGAAAAATAAAGGCTTACAGATAGGAAAGGAAGAACAAAAATTGTCTTTATTTGTGGATGACATGATCTTGCATGTAAAAAATACTAATAAACCTCCAAAAACCTACTGGAATAATAAGTGAGTTTAAGAAGGTCACATGATACAAGATCAATCTAAAATCAATTGAATATATAGTAGCAATGAATTATCTGAAAATGGAATTAAGAAAACAATTTTATTCACAATACTATCAAAAAGAATAAAATATTTATTATAAATTTAATAAAAATGTGAAAGACCAGTTCACTGAAATCTATAAAATATTGCTGAGGCAGATTAAAGAAGGCCTAAGTAAATGGAGGGATATACCATGTTTATGGATTGGAAGACTTAATATAAGATGGTAATTCTCTTCAAATTCATTTATAGATTCAACCCAATCTCTATCAAAATCTTAGCAGGCTATTTCCAAAATTTACATGGTAATGCTAAGGACCTAGACCAGGGGTTAGCAAACTTTTCTATGAATGACCAGACAGTGAATATTTTAGGCTTTACAGTCCACACCTGTTGCAACTATTCATCTCTACCCATGTAGTTCAAAACAGCTATAGGAAATATGTAAATTAACAGACATGGCTACATGTCAATAAAACTTCATTTACAAAAACAAATGCCAACCTGAAACTTAGACTAACCGAAACAATTTTGAAAAAGAACAAAACCAGGGGTGCCTGGGTGGCTCAG